ACACAGAGATATTCAAACATAAATGCTGATGTTACTCAGAATGCTGAGGAGACACAGAGACCTGGGTTTTTACAAGCACCATGACATAATTCTTGTACAAGTAGCCTTTAATACAGTTAGAGAACTATCACTATTTTAGAACTTGCTCTCTATGTGGCTTGAGATAAGTAATTTAATGTCTTTAAAACTCTATTTTCTTATCTTTGAAATGGGTTTAATATTATTACCTTGCTCATAAGTTAATTATGAAGCTCATTTAATATGATTATATAAAGTATTGATCAGAATACCAAGTATGTAATACATGCTCAATAAATAGGTGTAACTCTTAAAGCTTCGTGCAATAACACTCAAAGATGCTTGAATCTTTATCTTCTTCTAGGCTATCAGTAAATAAAATTGAACAACCTGTTCCTGAATGATTCTTGGATAAATAATGAAGTCAAGGTAGAAATCAAGAAGCTCTTTGAAACTAATGAGAACAAATATACAATGTACTAGAATCTCTGAGACATAGCTGAAACAGAGCTAAGAGGGAAATTTATAACACTGAATGCCCACGTCAGAAAGCTAGAAACATCCAAAGTTAACAACCTAATATCACAACTAAAAAAACTAGAGAACCAAGAGCAAACAAAACCCAATGCTTGCCAAAGAAAAGAACTAAGATGAGAGCTAATCTGAAGGACATAGAGTCATAATAAACCCTTAAAACATCAACTAATCCAGGAGTTGGGCTTTTGGAAAAGTTAATAAAATAGACCACTAACTAGACTAATAAAGAAAAAAAAAAGAGAAGATTCAAATAAACACAATCAGAAATGATAAGGGGGATATTACCACTGTCCTCAGGGAAATACAAATAACCATCAGAGAAAAAATCACCTCTATGCACATAAACTAGACAATCTAGAAGAAATGGATGCATACACCCTCCCAAGATTCAACTAGGAAGAAATTGAGTCCCGGAATAACTTCTGAGATTGAGGAAGTGATAACATGCCAATTAAAAAAAAAAGCGGGACTAGACAGATTCACAATTGAATTCTACCAAAGGAACAAAGAAGACCTGGCACCATTCCTTCTAAAACTATCTCAAGTAATTAAAAAGGAGGGACTCCTCCCCAACTCACCCCATGAGGCTAGCATTACATCAGTACCAAAATCTGGCAGAGATAAAACCAAACAAACAAAAAACTTCATGCCAATATCCCTGATGAACACTGATGCAGAAGTCCTCAACAAAAGCAAACCCAATACAGCAGCACATCAAAAAGCTTATCCACCAGAATCAAGTAGGCTTCATCCCCAGGATGCAAGTTTGGTTCAATACACACAAATCAATAAATGTGATTCATTACATATATGGAACTAAAGCCAAAAACTACATGATTATCGCAATAGATGGAGAAAGAGCTTTTGAGAAAATTCCATATGTCTTCATGCTAAATGCCCTCAGTAAACTAGATATGAAGTACATGCCTCAAAATAATAAGAACCATCTGTGTCAAATCCATAGCCAATATCATACTGAATGGGCAAAAGCTGGGCATTCCACTTGAAAAAATTGACGCAAGACAAGGATTCCCTCCCTTACCGCTCCTATTCAATGTAGTATCAAAAGTTCTGGCTAGTGCAATCAGTCAAGAGAAAGAAATGAAAGATATTCAAATAGAAAGAAAGGAAGTCAAACTTTCTCTGTTTGCAGATGATGTGATTCTGTATCTAGAAAACCCCATCATCTCAGCCTAAAAGCTTTTTAAGCCGATAAGCAACTTCAGCAAAGTCTCAGGACACAAAATGAATGTGCAAAAATTGCTACCATTCCTATACATCAATTATAGGCAAGCCAGGAGGCAAAGCAGGGATGAACTCCCACTCACAATTGCCACAAGAAGAATAAAATATCTAGGAATACAGCTAACAAGGGAAGTGAAGTACCCCTTCAAGGAGATCTACAAGCCATGGCTCAGAGAAATCAGAGATGACACAAACAAATGTAAAAACATTCTATGCTCATATACCCATTACTGGGTATCTACTCGAAGAAATATATCTTCCTATCATGGATAGGAAAAATCAATATCATAAAAATGACCACATTGCCTGAAGCAATTTACAGATTCAGTGCTATTCCCATTAACTGGCCATTGACATTCTTCACAGAATTAGAAAAAAATATTTTAAAATTCATATGGAACCAAAGATGAGCCCAAATAACCAACACTAAGCAAAAGGAACAAAGCTATAGGCATCACTCTACCCTACTTCAAACTATACTACAGGGCTACAGCAACCAAAACAGCATGCTACTGGTACAATAACAGATACATAGACCAATGGAACAGAGTAGAGAGCCCAGAAATAAGACCACATACTTACAACCATCTGATCGTCGACAAACCTACTAAACAAGCAATGGGTAAGATTTCCTGTTTAATAAGTGGTACTGTGAGAACCGATTAGCTATGTACAGAAAATTGAAATTGTACCCCTTCCTTGCACTTATACAAAAATCAACTCAAGACGTATTAAAGATTTAAATGTAAAACCCTGTAAAAACCCTGGAAGAAAACATAGGCAATAATATTCTGGACATAGGCAGGGGAGAAGATTTCATGACAAAGATGCCAAAAGCAATTGCAAGAAAAGGCACAAATTTTACAAATAAGATCAAACTAAAGGGCTTCTGCACAGCAAAAGAAACTATCAGCAGAGTAAACAGACAACCTACAGAATGGGATAAAATTTTGCAATCTACTCATCTAACAAGGATCTAATATCTAGCATCTATAAGGAACTTAAACAAATTTACAAGAAAATAAAACCCAAAGAACCCCATTAAAACATGGGCAAATGACATGAACAGACACTTCTAAAAAGAAGACATACATGCAGGCAGCAAATATATATAAAAAAGCTCAACATCACTGATCATTACAGAAATGCAAATCAAAACCACCTTGAGATACCATTTTACTTCAGTCAGAATGACTATTATTAAAAAGCCAAAAGCAACAGATGCTGGCAAGGTTGCAGAGAAAAATAATGCTTTTAAGCTGTTGGTGAGAGGATAGATTATTTTAACCATTATGGAGGACAGTGTGGCATTTCCTCAAAGATCTAGTGGCAGAAATACTATTCAATCCAGCAATCCTATTACTGGGCATATGCCCAAAGGAATATAAATCATTTTATTATTAAAAAAAAAACCTGTATACATACATTCATTGCAGCACCATTCTCAATAGCAAAGATATGGAATTAACCTAAATTCCCGTCAATGATGGACTGGATAAAGAAAATATCGCACCATGGAATATCGTGCAACCAAAAAGAGGAACAAGATCATGTCCTGTGCCAGGACACAGATAGACCTGGAAGCCATTATCCTCAGCAAACTAATTCAGGAACAGAAAACCAAATACCACCTGTTCTCACTTATAAGTGGGAGTTGAATGATGAGAACACATGGACACATTGTGGGGAACAACACACACTAGGCCTGTTGGAGGGTAGAAGGTGAGAGGAGGGAGAGCATCAGGAAGAATACCTGATGGATGCTGGGCTTAATACAGAAGTGATGGAATGATCTGTGCAGCAAATCATGATGGCACATGTTTACCTATGTTACAAACCTGCATATCCTGCATATGTAACCCTGAACTTAAAATAAAAGTTAGAAATGTAAAAAAGGGAGGAAAAGTTGATAAACTAGTGGACCTCATAAAAGAAAAAACACATACTATGCAAAAGACATTAGGAAGAAGATAAAAAGAAAGTTACAGGCCAAGTGTGGTGGCTCACTCCTGTAATCCCAGAAATTTGGGATCCTTTGATCCCAGAAGTTTAAGACCATCCTGAGCAAGATGGTAAAAAATTTTAAAATAAGCTCATACAACTGGTTGCATGATGGATATGCTCATTATCTGGATTATGAAGATGATTTACTTCATGAACATATCCATGAAAATGTATCAAACTATGCATGTAGTTGTATACCTCGATAAAGCTTTAACAAATTGCAGCAGCCAAGAACTGCTCTACCCTCCTTCCCCCTCAAAGAATTGAATAAAGCTATCCAGATGAAGGCTAAATTAGTAAAATAGATGATAAAGCAGAAATTTAAAAAGGAGTTGTGAAAAGATGGCAAAGTATAGAAAGTGGGTGAGAGACACAAAGTATACATGAGAAAGATTGGCATATGTGTAATAGATGATCCAAAGGTGAAGGCAGAAAATTAGAGAAAAGGAATATTATAAGATCTTTGGATAAAACTTGTTCAAAGTTTATTAAAAATATAAAGCCAGAAGTTCAAGAAATTCTGTAAGATAATTTCTATTTCTTTATCAAACAGGATAAAGAATATCAATATCTATGTTAAGAAAAATACTAAATAGAAATTGATGCTTCACAATAAAATTTATTTTTTAAAAAGTGGCTTAATAAGCTAACCAGAATAATAAAAAAGAAAAACATAAAATAGTATTAAAGTATGAGATATCGAAGTAAATTATAAAACTAAAGTGATTAAGGGCATGTGGTGATAACATATGAATAACTAAGTAAATAGATTTAATATAAATAACACTAAAATATACCAAATAGTTTATTAGAAATTTATAGTAAGTTAAAGATAGCAATTAAAAGATAAGAGGGGAATTATTTAATAATATGACACAACTATTTAGCCATTTGGGAGAAAAATGTTGAAGTCATATCTTTTAATTTAGAACAACAGACATTTTGGCTACATCAAAATGTAAATGTAAAAATATACTTGTCAATTTCACATATAATATTCTTTTACTAAAAATAACCCAAAAAATCGTGAATCTCTGTGCAATAAATGACCACAAGCAAAGTCAAAAGACAAACTGGGAATATGCAATGGTAGCTCATATCATCCAAAACTCTAACTTCACCAATATCAATGGAAAAGTGCACTAACAGTATCTGATAACAGGGCTGGTTGCTAAAAAAGACTCATTGAACATAAATGACAGTGCTTAAAAATACAGTTTAATACAAGATAAGCATACAGTTTAGCAATAGTATTAAAGGATATGCATCAGACAAAGTCACAAGAAGCAGTCTGGAGAAGTCAGGCTCAGTCATGTGTTCTTCACTCAGTAAGTGTCCTTTCAGGACTTCATTTCTTGCTTGAATCAGGAAACACTGGGAGTCAAAATAGAGTCTCAGTTGGGAATTTTTACATTTTGCTGATCACATAGGCATATTCCTGCTAGGAAACCAGACGCAGCAGGAGAGTTCTTTCTGGATCTCACTGTACCAGGGAAAAGCATCAATCACATTGTCAAAAATAAACAATGCTAACAAGCTAGTATATGACCTCAAAATTCTCAGACTCGTGATTACAAATCTACACTATGAATCAGTATGCTTCAGGTTTGTCTGGAGGTCAGTGCCATGTGGGAGCTTTAAAAACGCTGCTCAGGATGATTTTAGGTCTGCTGTAATTAATGCCCCAGCACAATAAAACAACAAGGAAAAGACAAGAAGCTCAACAGGGGAAAATGACAAAAAATAAAATCATAGACATCATAGAAAAGGAAATACATCTGACATTTGTTTATATAAATGTGAGTTTCAACCACAAACATAAAAAGATAAAGGCAGATGCAAATGATATGTCATTTGCAACATTACTTATGGAATAGTAGATAGTAGATATTTTTAAATATGCCTAATATAATTTAGAATTTTGACCTAGAAACTTACCTTAACATTATATTTTTACATGGGTGACATTATGACTAAGGTTCTTTATACCATATTTCTTGCTGTAATACCAAAAGATAACAGTCTAAAAGGCAATAAAAACTACTAAAATAAATTATGATGCATTCATACAATGAAATTCTATATACTTGGAATGAATAAGAAAACTGTCTATGTGCTGATATGGGAACTGTGTTCAAATATATATATTAAGTGATTAAATAAAAAGTGCAAAACCATGTAAACATTTTGTTACCATTTGTGTAAAGGGGAGAAAAGGGATTTTATATTCATTTATTTTCATTTTATTTGTAAAAATCAGAATATCTCCTGAAGAATAAAAACGAAATTGTTAAATCTGGCTGCTTTGGGGAGTGAAATTGGGTGAATCAAGAAGCGGGTGCAAAGAGACTTATTGCTCCACATTCTTTGTAGCTTTTGATTCTTGGACAATGTAAATTTTAAGCAAAAACCTGAAGTTATACAAAATTGTCTTGAAAATAATCAGTTTGTACTTCTCTGTAGTCTGTGTTGATGGATTATCTTGTTGTACAATGTCAGTATTTTATTAGAAATGATTGCTATTGTTTGAAGTGTTTTAGGTGTTCACTATTACAATGCAGCAACAAGAAAAACTCATCCAAGACAGTGCACTCATAACCTTCACACAGTGGACAAGAAGCCATGCCCTTCAGATGAAATGTCAGACCTTGATGCAAAACTCTTTCAGGTCAGGTAATTTGTACAGAATCAGTTTCCACTCTGCAGATCTAATTATATGCACCAATACTTCAAAAGAAACAGTGACACACATTTGGTGCTCAACAAAATGGTTAGTCAAGATTTTATAAGGAACATAATTTTGATCACTCGTTAGTTCAATCTTATTTATAATCTCCAATAGTATGTGGAAAACACTAAGCTTTCAAAAAAATACAAGTAAAGATAATGTACAGTCAAATATCAAGGAGGTATGTGTGCAATTAGTATATCAGATTTAGAAAAATTGTCTGGGTGTGGTGGCCCCAGCACTTTCAGAGGCAGAGGCAAGCAGATCACAAGGTCAGGAGTTTGAGATCAGCCTGGCCAATATGGTGAAACTCCATCTCTACTAACAATACAAAAATTAGCCAGGCATGGTGGTGGATGCCTATAGTCCCAGCTACTCAGAAGGCTGAGGCAGGAGAATTGCTTGAACCCAGGAGGCGGAGGTTGCAGTGAGCCGGGATTGCACCACTACACTCTACTCCAGCCTGGGCAACAGAGTGAGACTCTCTCAAAAAAAAAAAAAACACACACACACACACACACACAAAGGAAAAAAGAAAAATCACACATTTTTGTTTTATCCAGTCATGTGCATTGTGGGGATCACTCCCGTGTAAGGCCCCCTAATGTGTGGGCCTCACCAGATGGTGAGCTTGAGCCCAAAACACAGTTTCCTGCTGGAGGCAGTCGAGCTATGGGAAAGAAGGAACTAAGAAATGACTGATGTTGCAAAGGTTTCTACTTCTGACTACAATGCTGCTTGGGCAAGGGTCGTGTGGTTTTGTCAGACATTGTGTCTCCACTAGGCCTCTGCATGACCTTTACGACTTTACTTTTCAAGAAGTTTTACCTTATCCGCATGACCACCTTGAACCCTAGATAATGACTTTATTTCTTAGCTTGTGACTCTTGGGTATTGTTATTCACAAGTGTGTTTTGGTAAAAACAGATAAAGCATACCACCTGCCCACTTTTATGATCCTTGAATGTCATACTTAAGATTGTTTTCGTGATCCTATATTTTGTAAATTTCCATTCTTCTTATTGTTGATTGTGTAAACACCTTTGATCTTAAGGTATATATTGAGACCCTGGACAAAAATAAATTCGCCGTTTAGGCGTTGCCTTTTCAGTCCTCCAGACCCCAGCTATTCTGTCTCTCTTTATTTCTGTGCACCCCCTCTTTCAGGTTGGGACCCTCTTGCTGGCCAAGACTCCCCGGCGGATTTTCCATCGCCCACAGTGCATTTTTAATTCTAGCTCCAAATTTCCTAATACATCTACTTTAGACATTGCTTTAGAGTCTAGTTTAAATAGCTTTGAGCAGAAAAATTCATTTTGAAAATAGGAGTATTTACCACAAAATTCTTATAAAAATGCAGGGCTGGGCTCTTTTTAAAAATTCTATGAAGATCTCTAAAAAAAAAAACACAAAACATTAGCTGGGCATGGTGGTGCGTGCCTGTAATCCCAGCTA